GTCTGGAAAAGTAGAGAAATTCTCCTACAACTCACTGTGAAAGAGTCATATGCTGGATCAGTTTACAAAAGTACAAAGAAATATGTCCCCAGAAGACACACACAGAATAGAGAAAGGTCACTGAGAACACTAACCAGCTGTTCAAAATTATAGTAATCGCAGTTCAAATAATATCAAATCAGGACTTGGTTAACAGATGCCAAGCAGCAGATTTGAATCTGCAGTAAAAGGTAGGTTCAAAAGACATTTTCATTGTATTTGGTTTTTTTTGTTGTTAAGCTCTTTTTAATTATTACATGTTGTGTGGTAAAAAAAGATGAGGAGAATGAGAATTCCATCTAAAAGAGGAGGATGCAAAAGGACGAATCAGTTTATTTTGAAACATGCTATTATTATTTTGAAAGAGTGGAAGCAGAAACACAACCACTGTTTGAGAGAACAATCCAGCAGGCTCCCAGATATGAATCAGAAAATCGTCTCATTTATGCAATGATTCACATCAGGCGCCATGCATCTCCTATGAGGTGGTGTGTGCCCACAGTTCCCCAGGGAACACTGACCTGCTTCCAGCATCTGTCCCTAAACGCCTGCTGATGCAAGTCTGATCAGCTCTGCAGCTTGAGCTAAAATTGTTGTTCCCCCTGCAGTTGCCTCATGCTCCTGGCCTCGAGAAAATAATCTCACTGTTGTTCATTTTCCGTAAGACTTACTCTCGATCATCTGGTAAATGCTATAACTGACCTTGAGACCACATACACGTACTGCATGTCTCTCAGTTTCTCAATTTAGGGAGGAGGGATTACCCCTGTTGTTGAATGGAACAGGCAATGTTCAAAAACCCTCAAAAATATTAACTGCTTACATAAAACTTTTTATAACTTACATAAATCTTTTTCTGAAAACTCCAGTGTCACAGGAAGACAACCACTGCCCTGATTACACAGTGCTTTGTTTGTGGAATGCCTAACACATGCTTGCAAGGAGAAAGTCGTCTCTCTTTCTCCTTTTTTTTATATTCCATAAACTTTCCAAAGTACAGAAAATACACATTCATTTCCTGCAAGCAAAGGGGGTATTTGTCTCAGCCAAGAGAAGAAACACTACTTGGTTGCTCTTCTAACAAAATGAACATTAGGAACAGGCATATTAAGAGATCTAAGGCTTGTTGTGGTTATGTGAACCATTGGATATGAATCATATTAAAACTGTATGTGCCTTTAATGAACAGCTCTATCATGTGCCAATGACAGAAACCATGGAATATTTTTAAATGCACAAATCCTTTTCTTTTAAAGATTGTCTGCTGCTAACAGTTCAAAGACAAACCCTGGTTTTTTAGTCTTTTTCTGTATCATCAAAGCTTTTGAGATGGTGAAGCAAATATGTCTTCAAATCGAGCCATGTAAATTTTTTTCTGCATGCACTTCAAATGAAAACTCTTAAAATCTAAATCCAGGTATTAAGCAACCTACCTGGCCTTTTTGGAAATCAGTTTGAAACCACACTATCTCAAAGTCCATTTTGAGATGAAAGTCCATTTCAAGATGAAAGTAAACAAGGGTTTTTTTAATACTCTAATACAATCTTGAAAATACATCTGATGTGAGTGTTCGAAGAATGCTCCTGAGCTTTCAGAGCAGTCAGTCTTCCCACAGTGGAAAATAACTGAGGGTAAGACTGGATTAGTGTTTAGAGGACAATAGATGTGTCTGTGCAATGATCTCACTGGAAGTTGTGGCTTAAAAGAGCTGCAGGTTTTGTCTGTAAGGTTTTAGGCTTAAGCTTTACTCCACTTATTGGTGAAACGTGCATAGACTTTAACAGGAAGAAAATTGGGCCCCTTGTCCAGGGCAGTACAAATAGCATATTTTCAAGTACAATATGCTCCCGCCCATTGCCATGGTCAGATAACACATGCTCATTAAACAGAACTTGGAAGTAAAGCCAAAAAGTGAAATTTGCTGATAATAGTATGTATGCAAAGATGTTAATAATTAGCTGAGAATGCATATCATAACACACAGCATGATGTTTTCTCTGCAGTTTCATACAATACAAAATGATTCAGTTTGAAGTTAATTTAATTCAGCCCCTGGGACAAAAAGCAGAGTCTTTTTAATATATTTTTTACTCTTTTGCTTCTTTCTTTTTCATTTGCAAAAGCAATATGTTTTGGTTAAACTGAAAGGCTCAGTCAACAGGTATTTCCTGAAAATATTTTCCATAAAGAATTGAATGTGGGTCTCCAGAATGAAAGCTGATACTTTCTTTTTTTAATTTTCCAGCCAAAGGTTTGTATGATCTTGATTCTTTAAACGAGGCTGCCTGGATCAGCGCCCAGAACCAGCTAGTTCCATGTGATGTTTGTGGGCGTACTTTTCTTCCAGACAGATTGATCGTTCACCAGCAGTCCTGTAAACCGAAACCTGCAATGTGAAGTGGATGGAACACTCATGAATGCAGATGCATGCATGCTCACACACACACGCATATGCACGTTTAGATGTGTGTGTGTGTACATGAATACACAGACATGCAATCATACCTTTCAGCTAAACCACGAGAGAAAGAAAATCCAGCTAGAGCGCCATGGGCATCAAAACTGTATTGTGTTGTCAGACCAAAAGCCTCCAGAGTAAAATCAGCAGTTGCTACTGTAGTCTGAGGTCAAATAGAGTGATTTTCTAGCCCAACAGCAGCAAAAATGCCTCCTCATTTCTGTCCTTCAGGTAGTGTCACCTTGAAACTACCGTTTGAGAGGGATGGCCTAAGAATACTTGAAAGTAACGTTAACCATCATCTTCCTTCTCCTGATCCTGTGTTTTATTAGGTCCAGGAAAACCCAAGTGAGGAATCCTCCCAGGTTGCTTTCTAAATTGCTGTGCTTTCTTCATCTCTGGTGGTCAAATGTGGGATGTTCTTCAGCTCCACTCCCTTCATAGCCTTTTAGATTTAGCTGACTGGTCCTTTGAAAAGAAGTTGAGCCTTCTGTATGCATTTCCCATTTCACATGGCTTGTTTGGTTTTTTGTATTCAGCAAAGGACAGAGGGAAATGAGCCATAGCTGTTAGGGGCCTTTCACTGCAGAGAACCCCAAGAGAGTATCCCACAGGGATCCATCTTGTGGTCTTGCTTTTCAGCAGGTCTGTGAGACTGGGAGAGATGATATCATGTCAGGATCTCCCTTGTCTGCAGGGACATTTGGCTACATGTCCCTTGCTCAGTCAATATATTCACCTGCTGTTTCAGAAGCTGAAGCTTCAGCCAACTTTCAGGAAATAGGAGTAACTCATTGAAACTCAGTGGAAGCAAAGTCAGAGAGATGTTGATCAGGAAAATTAAGTCTTTGAAAATTTTGTTTCCCCTCTATTGAAGACTTGTCTAGTTAGTGTAAGGACCTCCAGTTGAACTTGACTAATCAAGGAAACCAAGTGGCTCTGTTGAGTTTTTTGGTTTGGTTTGGTCTGGTTTTTTGTGTCCTTGTCTGTCTTTGGCATAAGACTATTCATTGACTCCCATTCAGAGCTGAAATCCCTGGAGCACTCCAGTGTTTGCATCCTTGTGGGACAGTGCAGCTCATGAAGCCCTTGACTTCTACAAGTGAAACATTCCCATATAAAGGGATCCAGCCATGGAATGGAAGCAGAGACTGGCTGGTTTTAGAAAACACTCCTCCAAAAGTGCCCTCTTCTTGGAGTATTTCTTGTTTAAGATTGATACTGACCATGTGATTTATCCTCAGTTCTATAAACTGATCATGCCAGAATTTTTAAAAGTCAGAGAAGCACATCTTTGTCATGAACTCGGCAGAAGAAAACATATTTTTATGTCTAGCCAAAACAAGCATGGTGTGTCACCATCTTGCCCTCTGTGCCAAATCTGACCATAACAAAGCGTCAGTACGGGCAAGAAGGGCAGGGATTACACAAAAAAGTAGTGGGGAAGGTGTTATTTCGAATGTGCTATTTTGAAAAATGCTATTATGTTACGTAGCAGAATCAGAGCCAAAACACATCAGTGAATAGGTTAAATGCATGAAGGAAGTAATACTCACTTTAACAAGGTACAGCAGAGAGCAATTTTATTATTATTTTGCTTACTCTGAAGTGTTTTATTAAGTAGTCAGTGAGGTTATTCAAAAGGTATGACAAAATCCAATACAAGTTGTTAACCAGCAATACAGCCTTCCTGATATCACAAAAGAAACTGGACCTCATGTATGTTTTCACCTTCAGGCTTAAGATCTAGAGCTGGCTGTTACGTAGTGTGTGATCGATGTCAATTTTCTCAGAGCATTCACACTTACTATTGTACTTACAAATCAGATTAAATGGATGTCTTCATACACACTAAAATGAAATACCGGTACCAGCAACTTTTCTTTTCCAAGCTATCAAGCTGTATGATTTGTGGCATAAGTGAAATAATATCATTCTTCTGTTATTAGAGGAATGATCCTGGCTCCAGCCCTGGCGGGCTGTTAATTCAGACTAGGAGAGGTACCAGCATTCTTTGGTGAAAATAAATTCCAAAATAATCAATGGCACCTCAGCAGCCCTTTCATCTTCAGAATGAGAATTGTATTGCCTGAAGACAGGTATCTTCAGGAGTCAAAGGTTCAGTTTCTGTTCTACAGTGCAAAGCTGCGTGGTCTGTCCTTGTTAGTGTCTCCAATGTAAAGGGAGTCGCTGGTGGAGCTGGACCAGTGCCATCGCTCCTCCTTTTGGCTGGGAGAAGGCATGTGGCCTGAGGAAAGAAGAACAGGGGCACTGGTTTGTGGTTGCTAGACTGGCTCCTAGGAGCTGTTGGCAGGTAACATACACTGCAAGACCCCAGAGGCTGTTATAATTCACATCAATTGCTGACCGACTGACGAGCTGATTGGTAATTGGAGGATTATGGATGCCATGCAATCTCACTTTTGTGTCACCCTTTCCTCTTCTTGGACTCCTCTTCCTTTTGTCAGACATGATAAGCATTTTTGGATATGTCTACCTCACTGGGTCATCAAGATTCAATGCCGAGTCACTTCAAGAGCAGAAACATATTTTACAGAAAATAAATGGCCTTTGCAGAGTCACTGCAGTTGTTGGCATTAAAAAATTAGCCCCACCTTTTTATGGGGTTCAGATGTCAGCGTCCCTGTGTCATTCTGAAAGTTGGACTCGGAGTCTTGATCATTTTAGATCTGTCAGAAATTTCACATAGAACAGTTTTTCCGTTTCATTGTCAGCTCTATACTTGTCTATTTTTTATTTTCTGGATTATCATCCTAAAAAAGCAATAAAATCTGCCTGACGATCTGAGCAGCGTGTTTACAAAGAATCACAAAAATGCTGATATTAACCATACTTTTAGTGCGCCATTGCACCTTGCCCAGAAATACCACTGTATGGGAGCTCCTGAAGCCATAAACCTGAAGTATGGTTTCCACATTAGCCTTTGAGGGAGTCAAAGGAGGATTTGGCAAATTAAAAGCTGCCTCTGCTTATAGGTGATTGCTGCTGAGCTCTGGACTTGATGTGGAATCTCTGATATGGTAAGCCTTACCACTCACGGAGGCAAGTCAGCGTTGGGTTGTGAGGGCTGATGGTAAGACCAGAGCATGCAGGAACTCAGCAGGAGGCAACAGCCCTCAGAAAAATCTCAGAGGTTGTAACATCCCCTTCCCTCCTTAACATCATGGGTACAATGATTTTCAAAATATGTAGAAAAGTAAAAAGCACTGACATGAGAGTGCATGTTGATCCCCTTTCAAACACTGACAAGATACCACTGTCACTCACATCTCCAGGTTACTCTGTCACAAGTTTTTCTGCTGAGTTTACCAGCTTTGGTGTCAGTTTGTGCCAATGATGATGGTGAGTTCTGCGGCAAGATTTGTTCACTGGTAGAAACACTGATAGTGCCTTCATGGTTTGCTCTCAACAGAATTAAAATGAGATCTTATGACTATTTTTCATTATTTCTTGGCATTTATCATTCTGACTTTTTTGCAAAAGAGGAAAAGGAAATGAGACATTGAACTACTTTGCCTCCTTTGTTTCTGTACTTTACTGATTTGTCACTTAACCTTATCTCGTCCACTGTTGGCTTACTGTGATTTCCAGATCAATCCCATGTTTCCTACTGGCACAATACATTTAAAGAGCTGAAAAATGTCTTCCTGTACTTCAAAAACAATGATATTCCATCTAGTTTGCCACAAATGTGCTGATAGCAGCTAAAACTATTCCTGGACAAAATACACAGAAAGTCAGAACATGAGTTGACAAGCAAAGTTCAATCACATTAAACAAATGAGCACCCACTTTCAGACTGTAAATAAAATCCCTGACTGATGTTTTAGTTCAGCCAGTTGAACCTACCAGTTCAGGAAGCTGGTCCATGCAGAAGGAATTCTAAGGAGGCTCTTGTCTGAATCAGTATTTTTGGGGGGTCTCCTGTCTACCCAGGTGGTTAGTTTTGCTTCACTGTCAATGGGATAGGCTTTCCTGAGTTCTGTATTTCTGAATTGTATCAACCAAAGTGGGTTCAAATGAGTTTGCTGTATCTGGAGACATGCCACACTCATCAGGACAGTAGGATCATGCAAAAGCAACATTCAACAAAGGAATGAGGTCCACTAGGAAGCAAAACCTACAAGCCTGGAAAACTCTCCAAGAAGTCACCTGAGGGACTGTCTACATTCTTGCATGCTGTTACTCTCTTGCTCGTCAGTCAATATCATAACTGATGTACACAGAGTATTATTGACTCTGGAGCACACAAGTGTTAGGAACTCTTCCTAAATCTATATTTCTTAGAAAAGTTCCGGCATCTGCAGTTCAAGAAAAATTGTTATAATCTGCATAGGGCTGAGAAGAGAACCATGACTATATAACTGGAAAATCTACCTGACAAGTGATACTCCAGGAGCTCAGACTATTTAACTTTTCAAAAAAAGACTAAAAAGTGCCTCACTGATGGCCTGTACATATGCAGATTATAGAGCCTGCTTTCCAGAAGAAAAGATTTATCAATCTCCAAGGCAGGAATTTGATGCTAGACAAATTTCAGAAATAGGAAACTCAGAGCTTTAAAGCAGTGGAGCAGTTTATTGAGATTTGCCATGGATTGTCTATGGGAGGATTTTTACAAACTAATCATGAACTTTTCTAAAAAAAATTATGCATAGGTCTAATATGAATAAATTCAGTCTGTGAAATGAATTAATATAGCCTATGGAACATTGGACTAGAAGACTCTTCTAGGTTATAATAAGATATAATAATTGACATACAATTTTCAAGATAAAAACCAGTTTGCCGAAGTCTAAGAAATACATTACAAGTAGCCAATGGTATATCTGAATTAGGTAGCTAAGACTTCAAAAGCAGCAATTAAAAAGTAGTAGCTGAAAGATGTATATCTTTTAAAAGTCTTTGCATTTTCAGC